GCACCATCTGCCCTGGGAGTCAGCCCCCTGCCCACCTGCAGGTGGCTCTGCATAGGCCGGGGAGTCCATTGGTGACAGGTTGTTCCAGGCGTTGCCTAGAAGCTGATACACAGCTCAGGGCCCAAGCTGGTGAGGAAGGTGGCTGCAATAGCTGGACACGTGCCCCTGAGGGGCCAGGCCCTGGGCCAGGGCCAGTGGGTCTGCAAAGAGCCGTCCCTCCCTCGCCCCAGTGAGTCAGGAGCAACCTGGGCACCCATGTTTCTGTCCCACCCGCTGTTAATAACTTCTCGGCAGAAACACAAACAGGAGACAACAGAGGCCGACACACTGTTATTAGCTGATTCCACCCAGGAGGCTGGGTGCCGCCTCCTCTCCTCCTCTCTCCCCGGATGGGGGAGCACCAGCAGCTGCACCAGCTGCTCCATGGGCCATGAACCCCCAAACAGGGCAGTCAGGAGCACAGTGTGGCCACAGCTTCCCACGGCCGCTGCTCTGTCTGCCCCGCCTGAGACCCGGGCCAGCGCTGGCCACCAAGTCCACATGGACTGCCACGCCTCAGCCCTCAGGGCCGAGGCAGAGCTGCCGGAAGGACTGTACCTCCTGGAAGACCCTGACCTCTGTGTCTGCACAAGCCCCAGCCCTGGCCTTGGCTGCTGGTCCATCGGGGAGCCTGCTCGACCAGGGACAGGTCAAAATCAGGGCTGGGTGGGGCTTCAACCCAGCCCTGCCAAGAGCATCCTCAGGGATAGGGTGGGGGTGGTCCTGGGTCTTTGTAGTCAGGGATTTTTTTTTTTTTAACAGCCAACTCCATTTGTGCTGCTCGGGAATGCGCATGTCAAGCTATAGTACTTGTTGGGTGCGTTCAACGGCAGGTGTGTCAGGAGTCTATGTCTGTCTGGATTACAGAATCTCCAAGGGAAGTGGGACTGGCCTCGAGTCACTGGGTCTGCCTCTTCCTATGAGCGGGGTGCCCCTCCCCCCACCCTGTGGCTCATTCTCTGGGCGGAGTGTCCTGTGCACCATAGGGATGAAGCAGCATCCCTGGCCTCCAGTCACTCGAGGCCAGTAGCTCCTCCTCCCAGGCGTGACAACCAGAAATGTCCCCAGACATCTCCATGTGTCCTGTGGGGCTGAATCGCCCCAGGTGAGAACTCCTGGGTTAGGGGATTCCCACTAAATTCTCTGAGCTCCTGACGGGACACTGGCCACACTGAAATGCACACACTGAGTGGGGAGTGGGGAGGAGGGAGGAGGCGACTCACAGGAGCTGGAGGGCCCCCTGGTTTATACCGTCTGACCCAGCGGGCATTTATTCTGGCGTGTGGTGTGAGGTGTGAACAGGGGTTGAACTCAAAGATATTTTCAAATAATTAACATAAGGTTTACTCCTACTGCTGACATTTGGGGCTGGATCCTTCACGGGGGTGGGGGGTGTCATGGGCACTGTAGGGTGTGGAGCAGCATCCCTGGCTCCACCCACTCCATGCTGGTAGCACCCGCCCCAGCCATGATACCCACAGATGTCCCAGACATTGCCCAGTGTCCCCTAAGGGCACAGTCACCCACATGAGTACCACCGAATCAGGGATCGTGAGCCCTGGTAAGAGAGACTGTGTTTGCAGACTCAATGGACGGCCGTCTCCATGCCCACTTGGGTCTGCCCTGTAGTGCTGGTGACACTGGTGGTGTGGCCAGCAGGTTTGGGGGTGAGGCCTTGGGGGTGCAGTGTACTTCTCGTGAGAAACCAGACGTGGCGACGATTCTGCTTCTCTCCGCCACACCACGGAGATGTTCTGATCTCAGCCACAATGGGAAACACTGACCCAGAAGCTGGGAGCCTGTGCCCTGGCTTGGCTACCTCTAAGCTGTCTCCAAAGGCTGACTCCAGAACTTCCACTCCTAAGGGCAGGAGACGGTGGCCTGGGGTGTGGGGGGGCAGGCTAAGACAGCCTCTCCTTCCTCCCAAACCTCGAAGGGCCTCAGAGTCCTTGGTAGGGTGTCTGGAGGCACGGACCCCGTGGAGAAGGGTAGTAAGGACATCCAAGGCCAGGCAGCTCCAGGGCTCCAGTGAGGTGTCAGGACAGGGTCAATGCTTGGCAAAGGTGCAGCAGCAGGAATGACAAGTGTCCGAGGAGGCCCACACCACTGAGCCCCAAAGGACCAAGGACCAAGGGTCTAGCCCAGGCGATGGCCAAAAATAGTGAGGACTCAGGGTGGGGGCCCAGGGACCCTGGCTGCAGGGCTGTGCAGTGCCCTGGCCCAGGGCAGGGTTGCATGGGCACCCCCAGGCTGGCCCAAGATGCTCTAGCGAGGCCAGCCAGCAGAGGATGGACAGGCCTGCTGGTGGCACCAGTGGCTGTCAGGAGGAGCAGGGTCCCTGGAGCTGGGAAAACCCGGAGCGGATGCCACACTTCCTGCCCTACGGTGGGATTCTTGGACTGGAGGAGCTGAAGTGCTCCTGGCCCTTCCAGCACCGTCTCCACACACCCCTGCAGCCCAGTGCAGGTCGACACTTCCCCTGGCGGCGCCCACCTGGACCCAGCTGCTGCTGGGACCAAGGCCAAGCTGGTGGAAGCTTCTGGTTCCTGGAGGGAGTGGGGGGAGGCACAAGAACCGTGTTTAGAACCCCACAGGGTCATCCTCAGGCACAGGGATGGGGTTCAGAGGTGGGTTGGTTCTCTGAAAAGCACTGAGATGGAAGTTTCCAGAAGCAGGCCAGATCTTTCTCACAGTGATAGGGTAGGGGCCTGGCTGGAGTGGAAGGCTGAGATGGGGGGGTCTCTGGGGGCCCGCAGGAGTTTGGATCTGGTGTTTAGCTCGCTTACAGTGGTGGCGGTGATGGGAGGCAGGTGCAGCTCCCCAGTGCCCTGCTCTCTGACCTCCGGCAGGGAACAACGAAGGAGGCCAGGCGTTCTCAGACCTCCTTCCCTTGTGTGCCTGATGGGGCCGAGCAGGCTGAATGAGGAGGAGCAATCCTGGAGCCCCTAACGAGGACTGGTGACTCCACTGCTACCCAAAAGGTCAGTGGTTTGAACTCACCAGCCACTCCCGGACAGAAAGATGGGGCAACCTGCTTCTGTAAAGATCACAGCCTTGGAAACCCTCTGGGGCAGTTCTACTCTGTGCCACAGGTCACGATGAGGTGCTATTGACGCAACGCAAGGAGTTCCTGGGTGATGCAAACGGTAAACATGCTCGGCTGTTATTTAAAAGGTTTGAGGTTTGCGTCCACCCAGAGGTGGAAGAAAGGCCTGGTGGTTGTCATCTGAAAATCTATGGTCATTTCTACTCTGACAGACATGGGGGCCCTATGAGTCGGAGTCTGGGCCTAGAGTTCCCGACGGGGCCAGGGTGGGGGCAGATGGGAAACTTCTCGCTGAATTGTCAGAGGTCTCAGCTTGGCCTCACTGGGATGGGCTGGGCGGGTGGGGGCAGTGGGTGGCCCCTGGGGCCAGGTGGGAACCCAGGATTCCAGACGGGAGCACAAAGGACTCTCCTGCCCTCCAGCTGAGGGGCGTTCGATGAAGCAGACCTGGTGTGCGTAGGAGCTGGGGAAACCAAGGCTCCAAGCCGGGCGGGGGCGAGGCTCCGGGCAGGGCGAGGTGGTGGCCAGGCCGCTTGAACACCTGCCCAGCCCTCTGCGGGCACAGAGGCAGCAGCCCGAGGCAGGCAGAGCAGGATCTCCTGGAGAAGGCAGTTCCCCAGACCCCAGCCAGGGTTACTGCGGCAACAGTCGCTAACTAGTCTGGTTGCTACAAGGAGGCAGAGCAGAGGCCCCCAGCCTAGCAGTCCCACAATTTCACGTATGGTAGAGGCAGTTAGTAGGGGATCACATGCTAAGAGTCGGTCCCTCTGGGGATCCTGGGTGTGCACAGAGCCTCAGAACCCACACTGAGCTGCTGCCAGCCTCACTCAGGCGTCCCTCAGGGCCCAGGGCCTCTGCTGTTAGAAAAAGCTGGGTACTTGGCAGATGCTTCCAGCCCAGCCATCCTTGGGAACCAGCTGGCCTCTGATGCTGGCCCCATTTTAAAAGCAGCTTCCTTGTCTCAGGGGCCTGCACTCCAAGCGAGGGGGTGCTCCTGAAGAGCAGCGGGAGCCATAGGGCGAGTCCCTACACCTCCCCCGCCCCCACAGGTACAACCTCAGGTGTCAGCACAAGGCTGACCTGCACATGCACACGCATGGGTGGGCTCCTTCTAGAAACAACCCAGGGCTCCATGGCAGCTGAAACAAACTTCCCCACAGCACCCCATTGTTCTTCAGGACTGACAAGGTTGAACGGGGAAGGGGTCACGGCTGAGCAGAGGCAGAAGACATGGGCTCCACGGGCCCAGGCTCCAGCAGCTGACAGCACTGCTCAAACTGCAAAGGCAGGCAGCTCGGCTCAGGGTCCTCATACACAGACGGGGTGTGTGAGGGCGAGGTGGCCCAGGTCCTTGTGCACAGGTGGGGGTGTATGAGGGCGAGGTGGCCCCAGTCCTTGTGCACAGATGGGGCACTGTGAAGGCAAGGTGGCCCCAGTCCTGTGCACAGGTGGGGGTGTGAGGGTGAGGTGGCCCAGGTCCTTGTGCACAGGTGGGGGTGTATGAGGACGCTGTGTCCCCAGTCCTTGTGCACAGATGGGACACTGTGAAGGCGAGGTGGCCCTGGTCCTATGCACAGGTGGGGGTGTGAGGGCGAGGTGGCCCCGGTCCTATGCACAGGTGGGGGTGTGAAGGTGAGGTGGCCCCAGTCTTGTGCACAGGTGGGTGTGTGAGGGTGGCAGTGGTCTCTAGCACTCTCCTTGACTCTTGCCCCAGCCCCACCTCCTGGCATCCTGCACACCCCCAGTCAACAAGGTCACACAGAGTGGGTCAGCGACTTTTGAAAGAAGTAATTTTAAATGAAGTAGTGCCAGGGCTCAGGGTAGGGGGGGTCCAGGAGTCCCCGGTCCAGGGGGGCTCCCCGTGTGGGGCCGGCAGCCCGGCCCAGGGGTCAGTGGCCGTGGTGGTGGCCGAGGACGTTCACCACTTGAGGAAGACCATGCCGGCCAGGACAGCGTAGCCCAGCACCAGGAAGAGCACCTTGAGGAGCCGCTCACTCTTCTCTTCCAGCTCCTTGGCCAGGATCTCGAAGAAGGTGACAAAGAGGAAGGTGCCGCCCGCCAGGCCCTGCAGCAGCACCGAGGCCACACTGCTAGGCACGCCCTGGGCGCTCTCAATGCCCAGGCCGATGCCAATGCCCAGTGGGATCATGGCGCTCACTGTGACAGCCAGCTTGGCCGCGTCCCGCAGCGGCATAGCACTCCGAGCCATGCTGACGCCCAGGGCCACGGCCACCAGCGTCTCGTGGATGGCCACGCCCACGAAGAGGCTGACCACCTTCTCGCCCTCCTCCTGCAGGCCCAGTGCCAGGCCCTCGAAGATGGAGTGGGCCGAGAGCGCGAAGACCAGGCTAAGCAGGCGCAGCGGGCTGGAACGTGACAGCTCCTGGACGCTCAGGCCGTGGCTGTGGGCGTGCGGGCCAGGCTCGGCATACAGTGCGTGCCCCCGCCCGCTGCCCATGAAGGGGCTCTCGTACTCGGAGTCGCTGCCCGCGTCCGAGCCGGCGTTGAAGGTCTCCAGGTCAATGAAGGACGGCTTCTCCTTGCGGAAGGTCAGGATGAGCTGCTCCAGGAAGACGGTCATGAAGAAGCCCAGCATCGTGATGGTCTCCGCCAGCGGGTAGTCGGTGCTGATGTGGCCGAGGCTCAGGACCTGCTGGAGCTGAGGCAGAGGACGTGAAGGAGACGGGTCCAGAGGAGGGCGGCCACACGCGGAGGCTCAATCCGCAACGCTCAGAAGCACCCAGACCGTACGCATCCGTCCAACAGAGGATTACTCGGCCAACCAGTGTTCCCACAGCACCATTCACCAGGACCAGTGGTGAATGGCAGAGACCACCCAGACAATGGGCAGACAGTGTGGTCCTGCAACACCACGGAGGCCAACTCACCCAGGAGGAGCAAGGACGTCCCGCAGGGGTGCCCGTCACCACCCAAATGAACTCTGAAAACATCATGCTGAATGAAATAAAACCAAAAAGCAAACCAAACCCACTGCCACTGAGTCAACTGTGACTCAGCAACCCCACTGGGTTTCCACGGTGGTAAATCTTTATGGAAGTAGGTGGTCCTGTCTTCCTTCTGCGGAGCTGCTGGTGGGTTTGAACCATCAACCTTCTGGTTAGCAGTCAAATGGCTTTGGCACTACGCCACCAGAACTCCTTGAGTACAATAAACCAGTCACAAAAGGACAAAACCTGTCTGACTTCACTTCTATGCAATAAACAGATACATAGAAACCGATCATGCTTCGTGGCTCCTGGGGTGGGAGGCTTTGCTTGGGGGCAGTGAGGTGACATTCATGGCGGTGCAATAATTTGACAAAGAGGGTGGGGTGGCTGCGCAGCTTGCAGGATGGTGTCAGTGTCCCTGACTTGCACATGTGCAAAGTGCTCAACTGGCAAAGGCTGTGCTGTGCACACTCTCACCACAATTTAAAAGAAACAGAGAGAAGGAAGTACCCAGTTCACGTGGAAGGGCTGATGGATGGCCGGATAACAGTTACAAAGGAAAGCTGAGGTCCCATGTCCCACTGACTGCAGCAACCAGAATAGTGTAAAACACGGGCCTCCAAAACCTATGTCCACCTGGAGCCTCAGACCATGACCTTGTTTGGGACCCAGGTCTTTGTGAGAGTCTGGAGAGACCATGCTGGGTGGCAGCAGACCCTAACTCCAGTGATGGGCATGATGGGTGATGGGTGTCTGTGTAAGAGACCGAGGAGATGACACACAGAGACGCAGAGGGCAGGTGGGCAGGAGGTCATGTGACCATGGAGGCAGTGCCTGGAGTGATGCAGCCATAAGCCCAGGAATGCCTAGGCCACTGGAAGCCTGGAGAGAGCAGGAAGGACCCTCCCCCAGAGCCTCCAGCGAGAGCACGGCCCACATCCCAAGTCCGACCTTCTGGCCTCCAGAGCTGGGAAGATGAAGTGCTACTGTTGAAGGCTCGCACTTGCCGATGAAGATCAGAGACTACAGTCTGCAGTGTGGATCACACCTCAACATAAAGAAAACCGAAATCCTCACAACTGGACTGATACGCAGCATCACGATAAATGGAGGAAAGACAAGGACTTCGTCTCCCTTACTCTGGTCATGTTAGCAGAGGGACCCTTTCCTGGAGAGGGCCATCATGCTTGCTTGGTAAAGCAGAAAAAAACCTCACTCGCTGCCAGCCAGTTGGTCCCGACTCATGGTAAAGCAGGGGGGCAGTGAGAAGGGGGACCCCACTGCCACGGACTGGCCCAGCGGCTGCAGTGAGGGCTCGAGCATGGCAAGGGCTGGGAAGCCGGCGCAGGACCAGGCAGTGCTCTGTCCTGTCGCACACGGGTCACCATGGGCGGGGCTGACCTGACCACACCAACAACAGCTCCTGGCACTCTGTTACGGCGACACTGAGGAAATCACAACAAAGACTGAAGCTAGAGTGTTTGCAGTGTCAGACCGTCCCAGGCTGCCCAGGGCAGTGGTTCATGGGGGTACGGCACTGGGATGGAGGCAGGGCCTAGGGGGCAGTACGTGTCGCCCCTGTACCAACTGGCGAGTTTACAAACCTTTGTGTGGTCTCAGATGGTTTGTGGCTCCAGGCTGGACCTGGGGTGAGTACACCACAACTCAGGTCACCCCTCCTTCTGTCCTGCGTGCCCAGCACCCTAGCCGCCCATCTGCCCCGGGCGGAATCCCTGGGGTTGCCCCCTTCCATCCCGCGTGCCCAGCACCCTAGCCGCTCATCTGCCCCGGGCAGAGTCCCTGGGGCTGCAAAAGGTGGCCGAGCTCACTGGGAGGCTGGAGGTTTGAGTCCACCCAAAGGCACCTCAAAAGAAAGGCCTCGCTCCCTGCTTCTGAAAACTCTGTCCGTGAAAACCCTGAGGAGCACGGCTCTAGTGACATGTGCAGGGCGCCGGGAGCGGAGTCAGCTCCACACAGCTGGCTTCTGGCCATTTCCAGAGCTCCTCCTGCTGCCCTGACCTCCTGGGGGAACACGGCCCATGTCTGGCCATGCCCGTCAGACCTCTCAGAGCAGCTCCAACCGAGAGAACTTTCTGAAATGATGGAAATTTACATCTGTGCTGACCAGCATGGAAACCGGAGGGCCATATGGGGCCAGTGAGCACTGGACATGTGGCACTGCAGCTCAGGACAGGATGATGAATTTCATCTGGTTTGAATGACTTTGAACATGAGAAGCCCCCTGTGGTGAGTGGCTACCATAGTGGACAGCATAGCTTTGGCTACTGTCCAGCAGGGTGGAAGGGCTGGGCTCCCTGAGGGCCTGGGTCAGTCTTCCCTGGCCTCAAGGAGATGTTTGCACACACTGTGCTCTCTCCACCCTTAGGGCCTGAGAAGGGTCTGTCTAGAACGTTCCTCCTCCTGGGCTCTATCACGGGTGGTTTATTCCCACCTTTCAGGCCCCAGGTAACAGCCAAGGACTCCACCCAAACCAGTTGTCCTAGAGCTCACAGTACCTTCTTCCTTCCCATTGTCACAGCAGTCATACAACCTGTACACACAAGACACACCCATGGAAACACACACTCACACATATAGACACAGACACACAAAGACACACAGAGACACACACGGAAACACACACTCACACATATAGACAGAGACACACAGAGACACATGGACACACACACGGAAAGACACACTCAACATATAGACACAGAGACACACAAAGACATGGAAACACACACACATAGACAGAGACATACAGAGACACACATGGAAACACACACTTACACATACAGACACAGAGACACACAAAGACACAGAGAGACACACACACATGGAAAGACACACTCACACATACAGACACAGACACATAGACACACACGGAGACACACACTCACACATACAGAGACACACAAAGACACATAAACACACACACGGAAAGACACACTCAACATATAGACACAGAGACACATAGAGACACACACATGGAAACACACACTCACACATACAGACACAGACACACAGGGACACACACATGGAAACACACACATACAGAGACACACAAAGACACACACAGAAACACACACTTATACATATAGACACAGACACACAATGACCCACAGAGACACACACACACGGAAATACACATTCAACATATAGATACAGAGCTACACAAAAACACACTGGCAGACAGGTACAGAAAGACATAGAGACACACAGACACACAGATGGGCACAGACACACACTGGTGTGCACACATAGACACACAGAGGCTCACACAGAGCCACACACAGGTGCACACAGTCACACACACACACACAGAGCAGGTCTGGTGATGGCGCCCCCACCCAGGGAAGGCTCGAGGTCACAGTGCCAACACGGCTGCACAGTGAAATCACAGGGGCGGGGTGGGAGTGGGTTTGTAACACTCCTGACGCTTGGGCCCCAGGGACTCTGATTTTATTCATCTGGAGCAGTGGGTCTGCCCCCCACAGGGCACCGGGTGATGTCTGGGGACACTTGTGGAGGTAAGCATGGGTGGCGTCCCCTCCACCCTCAGCATGGGGATGTGAATGTGGGCAGTGTCCCCACCCCCAGTGTGTGGGTGTGAACATGGACCGCGTCCTAGCCGTTCATTTGTTGTCACGGCTGCTCTGAGCGAGCCTTGGACTCACGGTGGCCCTCGCCCCACAGAATGGAACCCCGCATCTCATGCTGTCCCGTGGTCAGATGTGGGCCAGATTGTTGGGATTCCCTGGCTGATTTTCAGGAACTGATCACGAGGCCTCTCTTCCTAGTCCATCTTAGTCTGGAAGCTCTGCTGAAACCTGTTCAGCATCCTGGCACCATGCGAGCTTCCAGGCACAGACGGGTGGGCGCTGGGTGGGAGGGGCACTGGCCAGGAATGGAACCCAGGTCTCCTGCATGGAAGGGGAGAATTCTACCACTGAGTCCACACAGCTGCCAGGACTTCAGCAGGTCAGATCACTAACTGTGAATCTTTGCTAAGTCCTCCCTCATGGCCTAGTCCCCAAACAGCACCCAGAGTGAATTCATCAAACTCCAAATTCAATCCTGTGACTCCTCTGCTTGGAAAGCCACAACGGCCCCTCATGTCCTGGGGGGCGAAACAGTTTGCACTCAGCTGCTAACTGAAGGATTGGTGGTTCAAATCTACCCAGCAACACCAAGGAAGAAAGGCCTGGTGATCTGTTTCCATAAGATTATAGCCACTGAACTGGCATAACACACTACATAAAAACATCGTTCCACATCCTACTCTGGTGAGGAGCGACTAGGATCTTAAAAGCTTGCAAATGACCATCTAAATGCAACAGTGGGTCTGTCCTTGTCCAAAGCAAAGAAAAATGAAGAAAACCAAAGACTCACAGAAACAATTAGTCTAAGTGACTGGTACCCCACACGATCCTCAGCCTATACAACTATGAGACCAGAAGAACTAGATGGTGCCTGGCTACCACTGTCTACCATTCAGAGAGGAATCTATGTAGGAGATCCTGGATAGAGTGGGAGAACAATGTAGAACAAAACTCAAAATGATTAAAAAAAAAAAGGACCAGGTTTGCTGGTCAGACGGAGCCTGGTGGAACCACTGAGACTATGGCTCCTAGCTGCCCTTCAGGTCTGGAATTGAACCCACACCTCTGGCTTCCAGCCAAACAAAAGACAGGCATATGAGTTGAACATTTACACTAGGTAGATATACTCCCTGG